TGGCATACCAAGCTATTCTACTCTGACAAATCTACAATACATTTTCAATCTTAATTCCTTGGTATAAAGTCAAATATCTATCTTGTAAGTTTGTTGTAGATTAATGTGCATGTGTCACTTTACTATTGAATATCAGTGTGACGTTCGACCGCAAATCGAGGCCTTTATCATCGAAATTATGATGTGACATATAGTCCATCTGTTTAGGTAATTAACTAAAGGTAAACAAACAAAACCACGTGACACAGAGATACTTAACCTTCTATTACTTCAAATATTTCTCGTGTTTTAATTTAAACTAAATTCACTTTAAAATCGTTCATTTGTCACACACACACATACAAGCACAAATGCCTAAATCGTACAAGAGCCTAGCCTATGGGTCTATTTCATTATCATATTTAAATAGAAACTATTCTGAATCTGATGTACGGATTTCTTTCTTGTACGGATATGTGTCTTTGGGTCAAGTTCCTCCAATATATTTGAACACATTAATTACAAACGATGAATAACCTAAACTTAAACTGTCAAACACCAAGCGGTCACCGGTGACCGCAACCTATTGTTCTATAATTGTGTCTACAACACCGGTACTCGACGAGTTAAATAACGTAATAACAAAAACAAAACAAAGAAACAAGATAAATTCAACAACATAGGAACGCGAGCGCAAACGACGAGAGATCTGTCAATGGCGCCTGATTAACCGACTAAACGTAATACACGCTACTTTCATTGTCGCGCTACATCTTAATTGTACTCTTTAATTTGACAACATTATCTAATGCTTCGTTCATAAAGAAAGGTTTTGGATACCTGGCATTTTAGGCTCTTTATGGTGTCTATTGTAATGAAATATTATATTATTTAATAAATGTTATTAAATTATTATGCTCAAGCAGATATATATAATATTTACTTAGAAATAAGTGAAAAGGGACAGAAACATAACATTTAATAGAGAAAACTGTCGTAAAAATGGAAACAATTTTATTTTCTTATGAAGTATTTTGAGTCATGGAAATGTCAACTATAAAGAACTCTTTTTATGGTTTGTTTACAAATAGTTAACTACCTAAACAGACGGAGTATAGGAAATTAGAGCTGATATTAAGTCCAGATATTGGAGTTGAATGAATCGTTAGTATATTCATCGTGGATGTTTCTCAAAGTCAGATTAAGTATTTGTCCATTTTCCAAAATAGCTACTTGTGGAACTAAAGTAGTAAAGAAAATATAGGTATACTAAGGGACCAAGACGAACATATTTTTTCTGTTTGATCCAAAACTGTCATTATGACTTAAAAAGTTAAAAACGAGGATTTATCTATCGTTTTTTGGAAACTACGGTTCCTATGTTGAAGACAACCTTTAAGATCTTTTTTACCTATAAACTAATAATACAATCATCATAAAAATCTCTCATTTCAGTCTTTTTTACTTGAGGTCTCTGAAAATAGTATGTAAAGTGTAATGCATAGGCATGACCACGTTTTCTCTGTCGAGATGACTTCGTGACCCATATACGGTGCCCATTACCCGTAATGTAGAAAGGAGTAGTTTGCTCGCATAAGCCAAGACCTAAGCCAACGCGACAGCTGTGGTTTGGCAGAGCGCTTTGAAGTGATAATAAGATCTTAGCGGGATAAGCTCGGTGATTGTTAGGTGAGATATAAATGTCTACAATACAATTTTAAACTCGTAATAAATAAACGATGTACCTAGGACTTAATAAAAATCACTTAATGAAATGTCAGTATTTAAAAAAATCAGCTGATGATAGATTACTCTAAGCTACTTGTCTCATTTATTTTATTTTATTTATTTTAATAATTTATGTACACACAAACAGCACAGGTATAAAATTTGTGTACATAGGTGCTACTTATTCCTGTTGGAATTTCTTCCAGTAGATTTGAGACAGGAAATGTAATTAAAACATAAGACACAGTGAGTAACAGATCTTCCAAATAAAAAAACTTTCCATCCATGAACTCGTGCTCCGATTCGCAAGTTCCGTAATTTTGACAGGTGATTACATCTCGATGTTATCTCTGCCCATACGCTCACTGATAAAACTGACCCTAAACAATATCTAGTAGTTTATCGTTGGACAAGCATTACCAAGATAGCGATGGTCAGGCAGTGAAAGTGATGGGTTGGGCTCTGACCGCATATCTGACAACCTAAAACAAACTTTATAAACCAAGAGAGAGAGTGAATTTTTGAGCAATCCTAGATTCGCGTGAGACCTTTCTGACGGTGATATCATATTAAATGTTATTGTATAACACCGTATAATGTGTGTGCATTGGATACTCTTCGTGTTTGTCGACTGGCTCTCATAACACTTAATTTGCAGTGAAGCCAAATCAAATGAAAGGTTTCTAACCGCGAAGTCATCTAATTGAAAGGAAACATCTTGACTCGATAACTATGTTGAATGGCTGAGAATGGAGCGGATTTTTTCGCTTCTTTAAATATGTAAGTAATAATTACGGTGAATGTAAATAGAAATACGAGATAAGGTTGACGTAACCTATTCAAAAGATAAGGAAATGAGCGACATTTATAATTAGAATAGCTAGACACGACACGGGTTGCGTGCCTATTTTAAACCAACGCCCAGCATAGCTCGCGCATTGTATCTGGCTGGTACTCAGGAGCAGTGTGTACAAATGGATGAACAAAACAAACATTCCTTGGAGGACAAAGGTGCTTTGGTACAAGCTTCAGTAAACAAACAAGCACCCACCCGCCCACTTCACTGCTAACAGATATGTCTTGCCCAGAAGTTTCGGGACAGTGCAAATGAAGACGAAATTTTGCAAGCCATTGCATATTGGACTTTATAAGCAGACACACAAGAATCAACCAAAGCAGACTTCTAAAGGTAACTTCGATCGGTCCCGAAAATGCTAATTATAAAGTTCATAATCACTTGTCATTAGAAAATCCTCTCCTCCTCTTCCGTGTTACTTTCGAGGAAGCGACGGCTGGGGTATTACATCAGGTGATTGTAATTTCAATATAGGACATCTTACTAAGAGCGCAAGCAAATTACGCCAGGTGGGCCAAAATGAAATAACATTTGTTTACTGCTGGTATAATTTAGAACAGTGTTAAGTGTGATACTCAACACATGAGAAACTAGAATTTCACCAAATAAATTCGTGTCGAATACTTCTTCTAATTCTAGACTTCTCGAAAATTTCGCAAAGAATTTCTCTAATGCTGACCTCTAACATTTCACTTACAAAAATAAACGGTGCTATTATTTTAAACTTGATCACAAAATATCCACCTACACTCCTAAATTAGCCCTTGAAACAAATCAAGCGATAATTTCACCGTTACAGGGGTGATTTAGGACCATTTTTCTGATAAAAAGGGTCAGGTATCGCCCGAGATTGGAAACGTCCCCGATTGATTTTAACACCACGTCGCACGAGGAACAAAATCACGACTTCGGCTTTCCAAAGGTTTATCTACGAATTAAGGTCAGGTTTAAGACCCGTCTTTGTGGTTCTGAGAAAGGTTTAAAGCTCAAAAAGCACTTTGGCAGGACTTTCATATTTTTAGAGTTAAGACTCATTTGCGCTCGTTGGTTTGCTAGTCACAGGCCTAATGCATATGAGTTAGGTTCGTTTTTAGAGGCGTTCTAAAGAATTTTCCCAAAGAAATCTTTCAGGTTTCTATTATATTTATCAACCATTATATTTATCAAGACGATTTAAATAAAGATCCTCTTTACTCTCTTAAGCAAGCACCCTTATGTAAGAGCACCCTTTTACACTCCTGCATCGATGTTGTCGAATGAATTCCGTCCGTTTTTACTCCCGTAAATTTTGACCCAATTTCCTTATCATTCCAAACTTTACCACTCACCATGGGCTGACATTTTAACAAGTATCGTGGGAAGTATTGAGAAGATGGTTCAATCAATCAATTTACTTTCACTGTGAATGTACTCTGCCTTCCTCCAATGGTACTTGATCACTTTATATCAAAGTGATTTGAACTTCTTTTGTGTCGACCGAATTATTATTTTGCAGTAACATGCGTATCATTATTACAATGCGTTTAGGTTATATTACAATGATGGTCCATTGGTCGTCAAAATAGGTTTAGAAACACCTCGTTATATCATTGAGTTATCATTCTCTTTATCCTCGATTTCAATAGCGTTATCTATTTCTAAACAGCTTGCAAATAAATAAAAACAGTATTCTAAATAAATGGCTTAACGTACAGAATTCTCCGCTTCAACACTTAAAGTAATAACCTAATTACTTGGAGATACCTATTCTACAGTCACGAGAAGGTGGATCATGGTCCCTTCCCTCCCTAAGACAGAAGACTCGATCTGGATCTTCAAAGCACCATTAAACCAGCATATTGGTTTACAAGAGAACCACTTGTAAAGTCATTAGGTTGAAGTTCTGGCTAACCACATTGTGAAGTCTAAAATCTGGATCAAAATTGTTATTAAATCAGCCTGCACCTTTGTAAACTTGTGTTGTTTTCTATTTTACATAATTTATTCTCAATGCCACTGACTTTATCACGGAATCTTTTTTAATATCGTTATCGTGGCTGCGGGTGGAAAATTAGATATTGAGTCTAGACGTTAAACTTTTATTTAATTTTCTTTATCGTTTACCTTCATATCGTTCTTATTATAAGTCATTAACTTAGTGCTTCTGGTATATTAAGCATGCTATCAAACGTTTTTTATGAGTCCAAACTTACACCTCCCAACCTCGTATTTGCAACCACTAGTCCAACAATTCAGTCACAAATTCACAATCATTAATCACAGATTATTTTAATATCAACGATGTTCTTATACGCTCATTGGAATTAAAATCACATTCATTGAGACAACCAAACCAGTTTTTGATTCAAACTTGTAATCCCGAAAAGCCTTTCCACAAACGTTCAAATAGCATCATTTTTTCTGTAAATATTACATTTAGGATGTTTTCTGTTTGCAGGAGGCATAACTTCATTCTCGCCGATGATAAACAACGCTGTACACGTTATCATGTATAGCTACTACCTCCTGTCTGCCGAGGGAAGCCCCAAAATGAAGGCAATACTTGTCAAGTATAAGAAATGGCTGACTATTATGCAAATGGTAAGTAGTGCTTTATACGCCATATCTTAGGAGTATGGACGTATGTTTAAGTGAAGAAAATGATTAGCATTATGTAGAAGGTCCTGAACTATTTACTACTGAATACTGGAAGGCTACTCAAATTTAAGTTGCAATTAAATATCGTGCCATCTTTGTCATTTTACACAGACTTTGTAGTAACAGAACGAACTATACTTAAACGCGACTTAAATTTGAGTAATCTTTTAGTATTCGGGCGTATGTCTATCATTAGGCTCTGATAGAATTCTGAACATCTTTTGTGACGACTAAACTACTAATTTAGGTATATTTTTGGTCATAAGTTGACCTTGTAGGGTGACTGGTGGAAAAAGCCTACAGTATTTGTCACTTACGCACGTACTTTTATTAAGGTAATTTCTTTTTAATAACTCTTTTGAAAGTTTTTTTAATAGACCGATTAGTTCTGATAGTTTAAAAGTAGCTTCTACATAGATAATGCAGTCTACAGACCTTACGATAATCGTTACGATTAACTGCAGTTTTAACTACCCTCATGTTTCAATTCAGTTAAGTCGTAGGTGCATACGGCCTACTGTACAGTTGCAACTGCACAATTTTCCTATCGATTATCGTAAGGTGTGTAGCGGACATGAGTATCTTTAATATTCATACCAAAATATTCTGTTACTGTCGCAGATGCTTACATATCTTATAACAAATACATTTACTTGTATAAAATTAGGTTATTTTGAATTCACACCGATATATCCGTAGGGACATGGGCCAATCCAATTTCCTGCCAAACTGTTGGCACAAATTGGTATTGGTACCGTTGGTTTGGTTAGAGTGAAGATTGACACTGAAGCAATGTAAGTATTCAATAGGGATCTGAAATTTGTGTATAATGTCGTTGAATACGTTAAAGAGGGCCAAAAAATGGAGGCGACTGTAAGGAAGGCAGTATGAAAGAAAGGTGAATAACTAAATTGACGACTGATAGACAAGAATTGGAAAGAATATCGCAATCAGATCCAATATTGACAAGGATGAGATAGATGAAGATTTAGTTTAGTCCTACATGCGTATTAATCTTTGAAAAGATACAACTGTCTATTTTTAGCTTAAAACAGATTTTTTTTCTATAGAAATAGTTTCAGCCGAACTTTGATTGGCAAGTCAACAGAAGTTGTCGCGGAGAACCTAACGGGTAACCGGGGCTCCGGCTCGACGTGCAGGAGAAGGAACGGGGTGGTTTTTATTCAGTAAGAGTTTGACACTCCCTCCCGCCTCACCCAGGCGGGAGAAGTCATTCGATGATTTCCCCCCCTTAAAAAAGTCAACAGAAGTTCGACTTTTACGTTCGAAAACGAATATTAAATCCTTAACCGAGAATGCATGAAAAGACTGATGACGGTCGTAGCTACTGGCGTTTCATAGTCTCGCCCTATAGGAATGTTAGTTTCTAAGTATATTTAAATGTCCAGACAAATCATATACACAACATGACCTATATTTGGAGAACCATGCTTAACACGAGTAATCAATGAATGGATTCAATACTCCATCAAGCCTATATAAGTAAGATCACTTCATTAGTAATCGTATAATACGTGATCTTATTGAGTAATCGTTGCTAACTAAGGTCTGTACTACTTAGGAGGATTAATTCACTTGGCGACTAAACCAACTGCTTATAAGGTAACATTTAAGGCTTCGTTTCGTATGAATAATGTAGGATGACCTATGACCTTTATGAATTACTGATGGATATTAATCGCTAGTATTAATGTGTGAGAATAAATTGTTTCTCATTTCTCTTAATTATACTGTTAAAGATTATGTATTTAAAAGTGTAATCATAGTTGTTTATCCAATTTTGTAATTTAGAATTAACTCCCACATTTCACTATTTATGTTATGAGTCCCATGTAATAGGGGGTGAGCCTATTGCCATATACCGGGCACAATTCCAGACTCCGTGCTTATACTGAGATTTTTTTAAAAACCCTGTACTACTTTGCCCGACCCGGGAATCGAACCCGAGACCCCTAGCACGGCAGTCGTACTTATGATCACTAGACCAACGAGGCATAATTTAGAATTAAGTTAATGCTATAATTGTGGACTTGATTTGTATTTTATTTTTTTAATTTGTATTATAGTAGTTATACTTATTCTATAACGAATGTTCTTGCTTCTTATTTACTTTGAGAGTGTGGTAAGATAAACTTAAATAAATACTACTTTTAACATAGAATAAGTATAACTACTATAATACAAATTAAAAAAATAAAATACAAATCAAGTCCATAATTATTTCTTAACTTAACATTAACTTAATTCTAAATTATGCCTCGTTGGCCTAATGGTCGCAGGTGCGACTGCCGTGCAAGGGGTCTCGGGTTCGATTCCCGGGTCGGGCAAAGTAATACTGGGTTTTTAAAAAAATCTCAGTAGTAGCACGGAATCTGGAATTGTGCCCGGTATATGGCAATAGACTCACCCCAATAGAGTCCCATGTAGTAACTTGGGACTCATAACATAAATAGTGAAAAGTGGGCGTTACATTGTACAGTGGCATAATGTGCACCTCTGCCTACCCCTTCGGGGGTAAAAGGCGTGATGTTATGTATGATGTTATTTATACATCTGACTGAGTTTGATTGGATCCTGTTTTATGAAAAGTTTGAGTGAAATTGTTTAGGTTTAATTTTGTTTTTTTTATATTTAACTAGCGACCCGCCCCGGCTTCGCACGGGTGCAATATGGAGAAAATGCCATATGGCATTAAGTCCGCCTTATGTACCTTATTTTGTGTGCATTAAAGTGTAAATAATAAAAAAAAAAATATGCATGTATTATACATACAAACCTTCCTTAAGAATCACTCTATCTATTAAAAAAAACCGCATCAAAATCCGTTGCGTAGTTTTAAAGATCTAAACATACATACGGACATACAGCGAAAGCGACTTTGTTTTATACTATGTATTGATTTTGGTGGACTGACGTTTGGTTGGCTACTATCTCGTCCGGTCGTAACCGATGATGCGGTCTACGATGAAGCACGTCTGCCCATAAGCAACCTATTTACTCAGGCCTTAAACACACCCAGGTACACTTCAGGGAACACGACTCTAGCAAAGAATTCCACTCCCTAGCAGTACGCACAAGGAAGCTTGATGTGAAGCGCTTGGTGTAGTATACACCATAGACATACTGTGTTGTATACATCAATAGAGATGATAAATAATGTATGAGGGAAGATTATTAAAATAGAAATACATATTGTTAGATCTAACGACCAAAATCAACAAACTTATTGGTCACACATATTTATTTGCCAACAATGACTATGACATAGTTATGTATAAGAGCCTAAGTTAATTCTAGTTAGAATTAATATCTTTATTCTTTCTGTTTCTAATTTTACTGATCAATCTCCAAGCCAATATAGACCTTATTTCCGATGTTTAGAGACTAATCGGTGATAGTGTAAAAAAAAAAATGTTTATATTAAATAATGAGAACATTGACCTCTACGAATGTATGTTGTACTAATGCCAATTTTCTTAATAACATTAAAACAGTGTAGGTAACTGAAATTTATTGTTTCTTTTTCTTCTTAGTCTCTAGCTAGACAACAGCCGCATTCTATTACAATCCAACCGCAAATTGCAGTCATGATACGACAGCAATTGAACTGCAAACCAAACATGCAGTCCGATTGCAGTCATGAACAAACGGTTGCAAAACCAAACAAGCAGTCCAATTGGAGTTCAATTGCAATCTAACTGCAAATTGCAGTTCGGATGCAGTTGAAATGTGGTTTGTCTCTTTAGAGCCTTAGGATGCACCAGATTAAAAATATAAAAGTATTAACTACTTAATTATATACCAGCTTTTGTTTAACTGTTTTATTCACACGAAATTTAGAAGATTATTCTCGAGTAAGCCCGAATCCTGACACCCTGAAAAGTACTTTTTCTATAGTGAAAAAATTTTACAAAATGGTTCAGTAGTTTTGGAACATATTTAATGTAAACAATAGAATAGGTCAACAGACATCTAAACATGTGAAATTAACAATTTATTTTATCAATTTCAGATCCAGTTCACATTCATGCTGGTGTACTCGGCACAAGTGTTCCTGCCAAGCTGCCCTGCACCGTTAGGCATAACAATATTGTACTTTCCAAATGTCATATTTGTATACTACATGTTTTACGACTTCTTCAGGCAAAACTATTTGCTAACCAAAGAGAGAAAAGTGCTGAATCATTCTAAAAACGGTGTTAAAAAAGATATTTAATTTTTTAAATATTTGTTTAAAAATTTATAGGTATTTACGTAAAATTTGATTTTATATCTATCCATGAGAGTATAAGAAATGTATAAAAATGGAATAGGTACCCGTGATCTGCTGGAAAGCTGATGTTTATTTATTGTGTATCATATTACTTGAAGGATTTATTTGTAGTTCCATTTGGTAGATGATGCTCCTATAGCTGTTGAAGATAGCTAGCACTGTATATAAAGTCAATAAAGAGATAAATAATTAATTGTTCAATCTCCATTAACTCCCTTATACACCTTATTACCAATGTTTAGAGACTAGTTTTGTATGAACCAATTTTGGTTGAAATATATTGACATATTAACATTGTACAATTCTACTATCCACTTGTTAGAACAGTAAGCAATTTGCCTAGTAATAACTAATAAGAAATAAATTCTGAATAGGTATTATTTTTCAATTTAAAAAAAAACATTGTCCGGATACTAGTGCATTTTAGAAATATTCCAATCATGTTTGTATAGTACTGTTTTGAATGTATCATAATAAATACAAAGAATAATCTGACTCAGTTAGCTAGATATAAAGTAGTTATGAAAGTTGAAATGTTTATTTTCAGTTAGACTGAAACAATAATTTATTTTTAAGTAAATGGCAATTAGAAACTTTAAATTAGAATGTGTAGTTTTTAAATGAAATAGTTGTCCAAATTAGATCAAATTAACTATAGGTAGGATATAGCTATCAAACAAAAGTAAACTTATCTTAACTATTTAACCTCAATTACTATGATATAATAAATAATTTTCTACAAATCATCATGAAGGAAATTTTGATTTGGCTGTATAGCTGTCGGCCTTTGCCTCACCTTGGCATCTATGGTACACATAAACAACAAACACTTAGCCTTGACATTGACACCAAAGAGTTTTTACACTTAAAAACTATTCTTTAATTTTATTAAATTCTATTGCTAGTTTATTCGGTCACGGCATTGATTATACTCCGAATTCAGTGTATTTTCATACGTTCTAAGACTTTGCTCATTGTTTATTCAAAAGAAAGATATTAAATAAAATAATCTAACTAAGTTAACTTGAGATAAAGTATGTAGGTGAGTGATATTTCTAAAAATTTGAACTTGTTCCTAAAATTCCAAGTATAAAATATAGTTTAAAACATTTATTTGATATTACGGTTAGAATGAAACGTCACTTACCGTGTAATAAGAAAGCAGGCCAGCATTTTCGTCCAGCACGAACCACCGGTACTGCCACCCTTTCATCACATTCGTCCATTTACTTAATGAACCCTCCATCATGATTACAATTCAAAAAATATAGCAAAATACATGAAAATAAATAAAGACTGTGAATTTTACACTGCGGCACGACCCTTCCACCATAAATAATCCATATGTTTGACAGTTGACGTCTGTGTTGTCAGCAGCGAAAAATAAATCGGATGAATCGATTCGATTATGTATGATATTTAATTACGAAATCGATTCGTGTTGAAAATAATTCTGATTGCTATTATAATCTGTTTACACTTATTATGTTGAGTGTTTTTGTATTTTACACAATCAACTTTTGATGTATTAGCTATAAAGGTATAGAGGTTTAAAAATAACAAAATACAGTTTAATAGGCAGTTATTTTATATTGTACAACCATTATCACTCTTTTGTAAAAAACAATTACGACTACACGCAACAATCGCGTTGAATTTAATTTAGTAATACTAATACTAGACTATTTACAAGGATCAGACACCATTTGGCATTTTGGATATCAATTTCTCCTAAACGATCTTCCGTGTTTCGTTTTACTGTAACCTGACGATATTGACACTTGATTTGTGTTTTCCTGATCTAAGTTTAAGCCTGATAAATCTACAAATAATGGCACGTTTTCAGAACCCTCCGCGACTACGTCGTCATTTTTATCCTTGTTAAAGTTTTCTGGCGTTCCTTCTCCTTCAATGGCCAATGATTCAATGTCTTTGCTGAGAGAGTTGTTTTCTGCAGCCTCGACGAAAGCGTTTGATAAGTCACCATCCAGTTTGTTCACGTTGCCCGAAGCGATGTCATACATGAAAATTTCTTTTCCATTGGCAGCATCGTCCCTGAAAACAACCATATTTTTTATTAACTTATTATTTTTAGTTTTATCGAATAAATACAGTTAATTTGATAAATTTTCTTACCCAGTAACGAGCAAAACGACTGATTGCAAATCAGTGGCGGTTTTCTTCTCAACTTCCAACCATTTCTCAAAGTTGCCTTTTGTCGGTCGCTTTAATAGTTCTTGTAAGCTCTCACCAGCGACAAATTTAATTCCTTTTAAGTTTTCTTCAGCAGCGCGCTCTGCTCTAGAATGAGCTCCTAAAGCTTCAGTCTCCACAGGAGCCAAAACAACGACTGAAGTGACTTTTCTTCCTTTCAGGACGTCTGGTAGCGGGAATTGATTGCCACTCACTTTTAAAGGTAAGTATCTGTTGTATCTTTTGTCATTTAATGCTACAGGGTCAACTTGCGTGGCATTTTCTTTAATGTATTCTTTAGCTAATTGTTGTCCTTCAAGTGTTTCCGGATTAAAATGAACAACTTTCATTTCAACGGCTTGATCTTTTGAGGGGGGAGCAACATAACTGGCAACGTTTTCCGATGCAGCAAATTCCTGGTCATCATCTATGTCCTCATCAATTCTAGATTGAATAGAATCTCCGTTAGGCTTTACATATACGGGTCTATTTTCACTAGATGCAATCTGTTGAGCTCCACCAGCACTGAAGAAGTTAGCCAACTGATCTGGTGGCAAAGAATCTAAAGGCGTGTCTCCTACTTTATCGTAATCCAAAACACTAATGTCAGCATTATCTAAGATGCCTGAAGACAGGAGTTGTTGACGGAGGTCATCTGGCACTTCATCAGGAAGCTCAATGGCTGGCTTCTTCTTTTTCTCCTCCTTTTTAGTTTCTGGGGCTGAAGTTACTGAGTTTTGAGTTGATGATACGTATTTGGTAGTAGTCGGTTTAATTTCCACTGTTCTAGAAGTTGACTGGTAGTAGGGCGGTGACACTGTACTGGTGGCGAATGTAGGTTGAGGTCTTGCTCTCTCTTGTATGTATTGAGATCTAGGAGACGTGGCCTGGACTTGCTGCTGGTATACGCTCTGGTACTGCTGCTGTTGTTGCTGCTGCTGGGTTTGCAATAGTTGCGCCTGCAGGCGTTGAATTTCTTCTTGTTGCTTTTGAACATTGTGAGCCAGTTGCAACCTGACTTGTTCCTGTTCCGCATCCAATTGTTGTTGTTGCTGTTGCAATTGTTGCTGATGTTGCCGTTGTAATTGTTCCTGTTGTGCGCGCTGTTGTTGTTCCTGTTGTTGGCGCTGTTGTTGTTCCTGTTGTTGGCGTTGTTGTTGTTCGTGTTGGTGACGTTGTTGTTGTTCGTGTTGGTGACGTTGCTGTTGTTCATGCTGGTGACGTTGTTGCTGTTGTTCGTGCTGATGACGTTGTTGCTGTTCGTGTTGGTGGCGTTGTTGCTGTTCGTGTTGATGACGTTGTTGTTGTAGTTGATGGTACTGTTGTTGTTGACTAGGTGTTGGTGTAGGTTGACTAGGGCCAGGTTCTCCAAGGCCATTGAATGGTTGAGATGTTGGTCCGTTTATTGTAATATGCTGTTCATATTTCGAAATAGCCGGAACCAATTCACCACCATTTGGTACTAGAGAGCCAACGTTTTGTTGATGTTCAATATTTGCTTTGTGGTTAAAAGGTCTTTCTGAGGGAGAACCTTGGTGGAAGACATCGGGAGTTGGTGATGGTTGTGGATGGAAATTGTATAAAGGAGCAGAAGAAGGTGAAGGTACAAACTGATTTTGAGGTAAAGGAGATGGTGAGGGAGAAATGGGACCAGGGAATGAATGCTGGAAAGGAATTTGAGGTGATGGTCTGGGGAGGCCTTGGGGTCCTTGATGGAAACTGAACTGCTGTTGAGGTTGAGGCTGATGGAAAGGAGGACGGTTATTTTCAATGAGTGGTGGGGAAGGTTTCAAATTAAAGAATGGAGAAGCGGTTGGGTTTATGGCGATAGATGGTTTGTTGTGAAGAGAGTCACTGAATTGGGGAGCTGGTCTTTGTTGGGGGAGCTGTTGATTTAGTGGAACAATTGGTGGACGACGGTGTTCTTGGAATTGAGCTGGAGTTGGACTAGGGCTGGGGTGAGAAAGAGGGCTAAATGATTGCAGGGGCCTGTTGGGTAATTGTTGCTGTTTTGGTGTATCTACTTGATCAGTAGTGATAGTGTGATAATTTTCTTGCAAGTATTTAGGATCATCAAAATAGTTCTTTGGTTGGGATGGGAAAGGCCTTTGAGGTCCTGAATGGAAGCTGGTTCTTGGAGGTCCATTGAAAGGTGGTCTCGAAGCAAAAGATGGATTTACACGTGAGTGGAAACTAGGTGGTCCGTTGTTTGGTCTAGGGAAAGAGGGAGTAGGGAAGGCAGTCACTGGGCTGGGAGCAGTTGGGCTTCCAAAGTGTGGGACAATGGGACCATTGGAGAATGCTGCGTTAAAAATGGGAGTCGGCCCAAATGGGATACGAGGTGTTTGTGGTGGTTGTTGTGGCTGTTGAGGTCTGAAAGGGGATACTGAGGGGCCTTGTCTCGGTAGCTGCTGTTCATTTGGAATATGTTGAGGTTGGAACTGGATACGACTTTGAGCCTGTTGGGGTCCAGATCTAAAGTATTGTGATTGCTGTTGGTGTTGAATGAAAGATGGCCTAGTACTGGATTCTATGAATTGTGGCTTCTGTGACACTGACCGTTCAAGCTGGATTTGACTTTGATGGATCTGATGATTATGAAGGCTCTGTTGAGTGGGTTGAGGAGGGGAATTGGGTAGTGCTATAGCTGGCTTAGGTGCAGTTTCTTCATGGTGCTCAGAATGGCTGCTGCTTTCACGTCTGTCACTGTAATGGCGACCTTCATTACCAAAAGTTACTTTAACGCTGCTGTCGCTGTGATAAACCTCAGATTCTGGTTTGATTATAGCTCTCAAAGTAGTCGTCTTCGGAGGAAGGTATGGTTCAGGAGTTACAGTTACGTATTCGTCTTCGTGTTCATGGTGCTCGTCTTCATCGTTGGTTGGGGGAGTAATAGCAGGAATTGGCTTTTCATAGATTACCTTGTCTTTTGAATGAGGGTCTTTGCTGTATTTTACGTAGAAAACATGCACAGGCTCCTTCTTTTTCTTTTGTACCGGGGGTGGAGGAGGCGCTGGCAGGGTTTCATTGGACTCTTTGATAATGATTTCAATGATCGGTTCTGGTTCTTCGTAATAATGAGGATGGTGGCTGTACAGAGGAGCAGTCGGTAAAGTTCCAAATGGAGGTCCATAGCTTTCACCAGATTGATCTACGTTTAGAATTTTTGATTGGGCATAAATTTCGTTTTTGTTGACAACCGTTTCTTCTGCGTTTTCTTGTGTAGGGTCATACAGAGGGTCCTTCTGCGAATACTGCACGACGGGTTCCATCTGAACAGCGTAAGGTGGCAGTTTTCCTTTCGTGGAGCCATGAGAAATACGACGATTGTTATTTAGTGCACGGTAATGTTGAACTCTTGAGTGTGGAAGTACGAGGGAGTATTGTAAATTTTCATGTGTTCGTATGCTGTCTAATTGTCGTTTCGGTTTCGCTTTTGCCGTCGTATTTTTCGCCAATGCTATGCTGAGCACAGCCAAGGCTGTGACCTGAAACAAGACAAATACAATATTAATCGATTTGTAATCGAATATTTTGTACCGATTTTGATTTTTTGCTTGGGCAACTTTGTTACTTTCTGTCAATGACACTTGACAGTAGTAGTCAAAAATGTCAGTGGGTGTAATGGGCGAATCAGGATTCTGCTTGATTTTTGATATGCGATAATGTGAAAGAATTTACTAACGAAAAAAATGTATTCTAATAAATTATTGTTTCCTGGTCCAAATATATAATGTAAAAGAAACATAACTAAATATGGTACTTTTTGAGTTTGATAATTTTCGGTGTCTAAAACAATAGGTACCTACTTATAAAATTTTTAAGTAGGTAATAATAAAACCTTTTTGAATTCAGACCCCCGTGGTTTGTATTCGTAAACCATATTACTAAAAGCATTAAATACACTCTTAGCAAGCACTGAAAGAATTGATTTCACGGTGAAATACCTACGTATTTAAGTGGAAAATCATGTTTGTATTTAGCTGTCCAAGAATTTACCGACGTTAATAGTGGTTGTAGTTTATTTATTAGTTCATTAATTTGATTGATGTATCAATTTTATTGCCTAGTTAGATACGCACTTGTATTTAAATAAAATTAACGTCAATTTGGGCACATTAGATGTTATTGCTTATTTCCTTGTAGAAAGTAAAAGTTTATTGATAGAGTACAGGGTACCGAATAATAATTATGTAAATTGATATAATATAATTTGTAAATATATGTGGGTGGGACGAAAGTTAATGGTTCTTTTTAGCGTACATAGTTTAAATGCATAGTACGCGTAGGCATTACATAGGCCTAATGGACTGGAGTGCTACAGTACAGACATCCAGGTCTCTTAGAGGACCCGGTGCCCCTTACAGGTGTTGAGGATGGCCACCATTTAGTGGTGGTTATTAGTGAAGTTAAAACCCACACTCCCTGGTCTTTTATTAAAAGTTAGGCGCCTTTTGAAAGTTTCCCTAAGTCATCATAAAATAAGGTGTGTGTACCTACATATTAGTACATATATTACTAGGGTTTTTTTAAGGGGGGAAAATCATCGAATGACTGCTCCCGCCTGGGTGAGGCGGGAGGGAGTGTCAGACTCTTACTGACTAAAAACCACCCCGTTCCTTCTCCTGCACGTCGAGTCGGAGCCCCGGTTACCCGTTAGGTTCTCCGCGACATATTACTAGGGTAGTCCTTAAAATACCAAAAAGTGCAAGAATGTTTTTTTATGATGACAAATTAGTTTGACGTCTTGGCGTCATCTGTACCTAGGTACCTACTTTACGTAGATCATAGACGTACATCTGCAATTTTGCATTTATTTTTTTAAAGGTAGTTGTTCTAAACGTTCCATTTTCCCCTTTCATGGTGGTATGAGAAATATTTGGTGTCTAAGTATTAAAGTTCTTTTATTAGTTATACCTACGGATAAGTAGGTAGGTATGTTACCACATATCTACATGTTTATATTATTTTTGCTGCGTGCGTCAATTTACCTACGTTCCATAATAGAATTAGTATGAATATATAATAATTGTACAAAATATGACCTAAACTATTTTTGTTACTTACGTAGGTACTTAGTAATCTACAATTTGTAATAATGTGAAAATTTACATTGATGTTTAAGCCTTCACTAACTATAAATTACATTACATTTTATGTACATAGAAAACACCTGTTCTCCGTGTTATTCACATAGGTACATATCATTTTTACTGACTTAAAAAAAGGACTACCTCGTTGGCCGAGTGGTCGCAATTGCGACTGCCGGGCCCTTGCCCGGTCTCGGTCGATTCCCGGGTCGGGCAAAGTATTACTGGGTTTTTAAAAAAAATCTCAGTAGTAGCACGGAGTCTGGAATTGTGTCCGGTATATGGCAATAGGCTCACCCCCTATTACATGGGACTCATAACATTAATAATAAAAAGTGGGTGTTATATTGTACAGTGGCATAATGTGCACCTCTGCCTACCCCTTTGGAGATAAAACGCGTGATTTTATGTTTAAAAAAAGGATGAGGTACTATGTTCGGCTGATTGTTTTTTTTTGTTCGCCGATTATAACATTTAAGTAACTAATCATCCAATGGCTTCTCCCGCCCGGGTGAGGCGAGAGGGAGTTAGGTATGTCTTTTGACTGCATGATAGACAGTACACCTACCAATCAAAATAAATATCAATATTTTCCCAATATTAAGTAATCGAAATATTTGTCAAGAAAGCAATACAATGTTTGAGACACGTCATTATGACGAGGAAGATATGAGTAAACACACGAGGCAGGCACATAACGACGGAGAAAGTGCTGCCATGTGAAAAGGCTCGAGTTTGCCCACTTTGGGACCGCCACCGTCGCCTGCGCAGCAGACGTTCGTACGGAAGCGATTCGTAATCTTTGTACAGGTAAGTAAGTACTTTGTTTAATGAAAATTATAATAATTGAATATTTCATTTTTGTATAATGATCGTTGTATCTGAAAGTCATTGGGAGATGTCGATGTTCAGCTGTAGCCGTCTTGTGACTAATTAATAATCATATCAAACGATGATACCAATGAAGCACGATCTACATGATTTGTAACTACTTATTGTAAAGATGGACATAAGTGCACACCTGTATATTCCTTCAAGATCTAGTTTAAAAGAATGGCAGAAGAAAAATATGATTTGAATAATTCTCCCGCGCAATTCATCCGCTCGACGCCTACTCTTGCGTCAGTAGTAGCAAGGAAATTTTGGTGGGCTGACCCGTCAGTCAGCATTCCAATAAAAATAAAAGTATACCACAGAAAGCATCCACTTTTGAATTCGACACTCCCTACGACAGCACTTCCAATTTAGTGACAGAATCAACAATCTTTTGTTTTTTTTTAAGCACGGGTAGGATTAATGTAGGTATCTAAATTGTACTAAGCATCCACTAAAGCGAATATATGTTAGCATAATTGGCAAATTGTTGTTCCGGTTTTGTGTGAAATTGTATGTCTGGAATACACCCACGAGACAGGAGAAAAGCCTAGCGTTGGACAACGTTTTTTTTTTAAATGGAATAGATATATAGAAATAAAATACATAATGATCCACCTTAATGGTTTGGCCGCACTGCCGCGTTGACCGAGTGGTCGCAAGTGCGACTGCCGGGCAAAGGGTCTTGAGTTCGTTTCCCGAGTAGGGCAAACTTACTGGGTTTAAAAAAAGTCTCAGTAGGGTATATGGCAATAGGCTCACCCCCTATTACATGGGACTCATAACATAAATAGTGAAAAGTGGGTGTTGCATTGTACAGTGGCATAATGTACACCTCTGCCTACCCTTTCGGAGATAAAAGGCATGATGTTATGTTATGCTTAATGGTTTTGTAGGTGTTGTTGAATGCCACTAAGTACTTAACAGTGTGTTAGTTAGGTTTGATAACTGAATAAAGCAGAGTACCATCTTAAGTGCAATGTAAATATTTTGGCAATCACTGCTCAATATAGGTACCTACTTAACGATTTTGTGTTATGTTAATAAAAAATGAATAGTCGCAGAAACGCAGTGAATGCAATTTGCATTTAATTTCATTACAGTGATTCATATTGAAATTAGTATCATGAAATAGCAAAAAATACCTGGTGTTGAAAGACTATTACGAGATTTTAACACTTAACATGTTGCATCTTGCATCTCTAGTGCACACTTACTTAAAAATAATGTTCCTAATGCAATGCACTTTTGAGCTTGCAACACTGAATTTCTGCGCAGTGTTGCCACATTTAAAAAGTAAAAGTTACCGATTCGATTGTAGCCCGCGGTCATCTTAAACCATAACTGGAATAATATAATGGGCGTGACTTGATATAAAATTTCTTAAGGCGTAGGCAGAGAAAAGCCTTGCAAAATTAAGTGAATTCTTGCAAAAATCTGTGTCACTTGTAATAATTACGACAATGTCCTTTTGAATGGCAATTTCGTAAATGCTACAGATTTACACTGCCTAAGTAGGTAAGTACATACATACTAATTAGCACAGTAAAAGCTAAAATTCTTTAACTTTATAAATTTCTATAATCTACCTAAAATTGCTATTTAAAACTAGAAACCATCATTAAATTGATAGAATACACTTTTTAACTCATCCTTGTATATCCAGCCGGCAGGTCAACCTATCCTTTTTTGTCAAATTTCTCTATTACATCTTCAACTTTATTGCATTAACATAAAGCCGAAAATCCAATGACTTCTGACGGCTTAGAATAGGTTCATCGACTGGCCTGTCTTGTATGATTTCGTGTAAGTATACGCATCAGCTTTTATCAAGTTACCAGTGAGCACAATTGGGTACTTTCCTTTATCAAAAATAAATTAATTTGACTATTGAATACAATAAAATATTACAAAATAATCACACTTTCATTAATTGATTTTATAATCAACTTAATTTTAATATTATTCCAGCAATTATTTAAGAAATAAGTAAACTGTTTGAGGCTAAAAAAACGTGACGTCACAATACACAATCTCGTACAAAATTCATAGATAACTGTCGTTTTTGACAGTTCGAAAAAAAAGTATTGAATTTGACTAGTTGGCAAGTACCCTATTAGCATACAAATAAACTATGAACATAAATAGTCATACAATTTGTATGTTATGTGTAACTGCCAACCTGTCAATACATGTTACATACGAATATGATGTTTGAAAGGCTTCGATGTATGTACATATGACTCGCAGGTTTTTGTCGGAGTAAATGTGAGTGCTCACCTGCTAGGGGTAATCAAGTATTAACTCGTCGAGTACCGGTTTTGTAGACACAATTATAGAACAATAGGTTGCGGTCACCGGTGACCGCTTGGTGTTTAAAAGTTTAATTGATTTGGATAAAAGCTACATACGAAGATAATGATAATAAATACTTACCTAAGTATATTATGACTACCTCGTTGGCCAATTGGTCGCAATTACGACTGCCGGGCAAGGGGTTTTGGGTTCGATTCCCGGGTCGGGCA